GGGGGGGGGGGATGGGTTAGCCTGGTGATGGGTATTAGAGAGGGCACTTACTGAATGGAGCACTTGGTGTTATAGGCAAACAATGAATCATGGAACACTACATCAAAAACTAATGATGTAATGTATGGTGATTAACATAACATAAGAAAAAAAGAAAAAAAAATTTAATGGCTTCCCACAGTCCTTATGATAAAATTTTCCAAATCCTTTGAGCGCCTGGATGGCTCAGTTGGTTAAGCATCTGCCTTCAGCTTGGGGCATGATCCCAGGGTCCTGGGACTGGGTCCTGGGACTGAGCCCTGCGTCCTCAGGCTCCCTGCTCAGCAAGGAGTCTGCTTCATCCGCTCCTTCTGCCCCTCCCCCTGCTTGTGGTCTCTCTCACTCTCTCTCTCTCAAATAAATAAATAAAATCTTTAAAAAAATTTTTCCAAATCCTTAGAGGCCCAAGACCCTTTATGAACAATGTACTGCCTATTATTCTAATCCAATCTCCATTTACTCCTCAAGATCCAATGATGTAGAATTCCCTGCATTCATCAATGTACTGACACATGCTATTCCGTTTGCCTGAAATACCCTTCTTTTCTTTCTTCTCCCAGATAATTCCTTATCGAGGTTCAGCTTACTAGTTTTTTCCACAGGTTTCTCCAAGTTGGAGTGGGTACCCCTTTATGCTTCCATAGTACATACTATATATCCTCCTAATATTCATATTGTACTGCAATAGTTTTCTCCTCTAGAGGGCAAAGAATGTCTTTGCAGTCTGTGTTCAGCACTGAGTGTGACACTCAGTAAATGTTATTGAATAAACGAAGAAATGAATATACAACTAAAGTAGAGATGGAGAGGTTTGTTTTAGTGCTTTCTAGTCCAGTTTGAGTAGGGTGTAAGAAATCTATCCCCCCACCCCGGATTAGTTTAAAAGATTTTATGGAAAAAGTGACCTAGTTCAGAGGCACTTAAATATGGTCAACAGTAATGTAGTAATAATTAACTGAAAAGAGGTTATTCTTTTCAGGTCCTGCTAATTAATGTTCAAGACAAAACAGGAAGAAACAAAATTATGGAATGTTAGAAATGATTGTGCACTTGTGGGTCAAGTTCAGCATCTTCATTGCAGAGATGAAAAATAATGAGCTTAAAGAAATGGATTTGAGATTGTTGGGGAACTTTGATATAGGATAGGGCAGTGGTTCAAATTTGTGTGGCTCAAATTTGATAACCACTGGGACAGCATTTTATAAACTAGAGAAAGGATCATTATATTAATTTGTAGTAGTTTAAGGAGGAATAAAAAGTGTAATAAAAAATAAGCAGAGAAAACAATCTCAAGGCAGCAGTGGTGAGAATTAAGTGGTGTGTTGCTACTATTACTGGGAGCAATAAAGGATTTGAAGATTAAAAATTTTTTAAGTTTAGGTGAGACTAACCAAAAGATCTAGACTAAGGTAACAGTTAGCTCTTAATTATTCATGCTTATAAAGTAATTGACAATATCAAGTCATTTTTTTAAATTTGGCTTTGCAGTAAAATTTATTCTTTCAGTACTTACCTTTGTTTTGTTTATGGTAATAACATTTGAAGTAGAAATAGTAGAGTAACTAGATTATCTGTGGGTACTGAGGCAAATCATTTAATTATTCATCTGTAAAATTGTTTGGATTAGACCACCTCAAAGACTCTTTTTATTAACTACGAATCCACCAACACTGGTTTGCCATAATCAGTCTACAATGCTCCCATTCCAATAACAAGTCTAATTCATTATAAATACCTTAATATCATTATTGGTATTTTACTTTGCTTGGCAACTTTGGTTTTTAAGTTAGTGGGTCAATATTTGGGTGCCCAATAAATCGGTCATATTTATGTTTTTAGTTAAGAAACGCAGGCTGCTGGTGAGATAGATTGCAATCCCTATAATCCCAGCCCCAAAATCTGGGTAAGATCACAGAGAATCAAATAGCCAGTGTAAATAACGACAAAAACCTGTCCATCGGAATTAAGGCCTAACATTATCAGTAGGTTAAATAAACGTAACTTTGTAGGCACTGCTGGACCATGCATGGCTATCTTCAAGGCAAAAGGTCCAACATCGGGAGGCCTCCAGGCCTCGCCTCTGCATGGCTTTGGCATCACTTCTGTGCTATAGCTATAGCTGGGATGCTAAGTTAGGCCCTTGAGTCTCAAGAGCTCTTTGGAAAATCCACACCCTGAGAGTTCTCCCTCCCCAGGCAAACCCCAGCCTCGTGAGAAAAATGGGCAATTTAGGGTAGGCTTTTCGTTCTCTCCAGATGTCCTCCCCTCGCCCTTGATGCCCAGCGCCAGCCTCCCAAACTGCAGCGGCCGTTACCTCCATCCTGGGAGCCAGGGCTTCGCCGTCGCTGCCGCCCGCTCCAGCCATTTTGTCCCGTGGGGCCACGGCTGCTGCAAGGGCTTGTGGGGGGATGGGGAGGGCAGCCGGTGCAGCGCGTGGGGGCGGGGCTTCCGCGGCCTCCTAGGGAGCCAGGAGGCGGGGCCCCAGCTGAACCAGCCCGGATCCCACCCACCAAACTCCCTTGGAGAAAATGCTGCAGCCCAAGGTTGAGCTAGAATTCCTTACAGTGGTGCCAGGGAGTGCTTTGTGCGCTTTTCCCCCCAAATACTTTTGTTGACCTTAACGACTCTATAGGGCCTATTTCTCATGGCAGGCAGTGTAACAGTGGTAAAGAACATGAGTTCTAGGGATAGAGTCTCAATAGTACCTACAAATCCTAAATTTGTTGTGAAGATTAAATGGAGATCATACAAGCTAAGTAAGTGCTCGTGTACCCAGCAGATAGGTAGTAAATACCTGCTGTCATTACTACCAGCCTGACTGCGCACGATCTAAGGCTGCAAAGAAAAAGCAAAGTAAGTTTATTCATCTTAGAGGCTGTGATAGGATCTCTTCCAACAATTGACTTTTATCAGCTAGAAAATGAGTCCTAAATTTTGCTTAGCGCTGGTACAAATGTGTGATGCAAATTTCGTCATCTTCTGTATCTCTGTGGGCGTCCCCTTCCTCAGTTTACCCAGTAATTTAAAGAATTACTCTCAGAAATGTCTCCTAGAGAAGGGCCCTAAGCTTTCAAAGGGGATAATGGAAAAAATATAGTATTTAGGTTATTGGTAAGAGGATCATGTTGGCAGGGAAAAAAGGCTTGACTACAGGTAGAATTCCATGTATCACAATTTGTACCTCTTAACACAAGGTTCTTAAGAATTGAAAACTTCTTGAGAATTACGGGAGATGACACTGAGTATGGAGATAGTGTAACCAGTATAACACATCTTACTTTATAAAACAAATATATCCATTAAAAAATGTTTCAACTTTTTGTAAATCAAGTGTTTTGGTACACTATGTGTGGAACCTAGTTTTTTAAAGGACATAATGAATAATCTTAACCTAAATTTTCTGTTAAATCTCTGGATCTTCTCATTTTCTCTGACAAATGTTGACCCCAAAGCCCAATAATTTCCATATATGAGATAGCAATTTCTAAACTGTTACCCCAAGAGAAATGGCAGGATTTTGAAAGCTAAACTTTCTTCCTCTAAACTTCATTTTCTCACTTTCTCCCACTCCATCTCTCCATCCTACTTTAAACAACATGGACAACTTCTGTCAGATATGCCAGCTCAGTCTTTGATTGATTTCTCTCCGCACAGGACTAATCCAATGTATTAGTCCACTCAGGCTGCCATGATTTAATACCACATACTGGGTGGCTTAAAAGAACAACAGACATTTATTTTCTCATGGTTCTGGAGACTAGAAGTCCAAGATCAAGGTGCCAGCATGCTTGGTTTCTGGTGAGAGCTCTATTCCTGGATTATAAAGGGCCACCTTTTCTCTGTATCCTCACATGGGAGTTGGTGGGAAAAAAGGAGAGAGCGTGAGCAAAAGCTCTGATATCTTTTCTTACAAGGGCACTAATCGAAGCATGAGGGCCCTTACCCTCATGACTTCATCTAAACCTAATTACCTCTGAAAAAGCCCCATCTCCAAATTCCATCACAATGGGGTTAGGACTTCAACATACGAATTTTGGGGATACAATTCAACCCACAGCCCTTAGTAAATCAACCACCTAAGAATACTAGGTATTGGGGTTTACAACCAATAATTATTATGAAGGCTGTTTTTTTTTTTTTTTTAAGATTTTATTTATTTGACAGAGAGAGACACAGTGAGAGAGGGAACACAAGCTCGGAGTAAGAGAGGGAGAAGCAGGCTCCCCGCTGAGCAGGGAGCCCGATGTGGGGCTCAAACTCAGGACCCCGGGATCATGACCCAAGCCGAAGGCAGACACCTAACAACTGAGCCACCCAGGCGCCCCTGAAGACTGGTTCTTGAGAATAAATTGAATAGTTGACATTAGTTTAAGTTTTTGAAATTTTTTTATATATGGAAATCAGTGAAGCTTCACTTATAAAATAACTAACACATGATAGTACAAAGATGGTTTAAAAACTGACTCATATTATTTTATTACCAAATCAATTTCAATAGTAACAAATTTTCTTAAACATATTTAATCAGGTAGTTTCTGGAAGATGGGTTAAATGATGAAAAAATGGGCGACCATGAACACACCCTTTAATTTCATTTCCAAACTGGTCCTTCATTCTGTAGATAATGTCTTGGACGTCCTCTTTGGATAAGTACATGGGCAACTGTCTAGATAGACGCACTGCTTCTCCCTGTGAAGAGAAAGCCATATGTTTTACCATGATACACCTGAAGCAGAAAACATGTTATTCCTGGCAAGAAAGAAGACAGAAAATAGATTATATTCTTATTATTCATTCACTCACATATTAAACACAAATTATGTGTTAGTCACTATTGTAGGTTTTACACACAGTAGAGAATAAGACAAACATTCTTGCTCATGTGAAATTTATATTCTAGTGTGGAGAAACAAAACAGATAAAAAGACAAAAGAAAATTTTGGGGCACCTGGGTGGCTCAGCCAGTTGGGCGTCCAACTTTTGATTTCAAACGCAGGTCATGATCTCAGGGTCATGGGATCGAGCCCCATGTTGGGCTCCACACTGGGCATCGAGCCTGCTTGGGATTTTCTCTCTCCCTCTGCCTCTCCCCACAACCCCCTCTCCCTCTCTTAAGGAAAAAAAAAAAAAAAAGAGTCCTGACATGAACAGGAGGTAGAGTCAAAACCTGTTGATGAACTGGTTATGAAGGATACAGAATCAAAGATCATGTCCACATTTTTGGTATGGTGATGCTGTTTTCTGAGATAGGAAAAACTGAGCATTTAGGCGTAAATGGTATTAGCAAAGCTGGTTTCTTTAAAGATTTATTAAAAAAAAATTGTACTGCAAAGAGCTTGAGCCTAACATTATTCTAACTACATACCCTCTCCCATTATCTTTCCAACCACCCTACTCCTTTCCAACTAAACCTATTCTTTTCTTCACTTTGACTTTTCATCTCCTCAGTCCCTCCTTATTGCTCTGGCCCACCAGCACCCTTCTTGTCATCTTTCCCTATTTAAGGTACAGACAGTAAGACATTAAGGATACTATTTCTAGCTTCCTGTATTCCTTTTTGATTCCTACTAGAACATAATTCATCTTTATATTCCTCTAGGACCTAACACAGTTTCTCGTATACATTACGGGTTCAAATGTTCTTGTTCTACCATATTCATCTTGTAATCCCTATACTTGGATAAACTGTACATGTACTGTTGGAAAATCACCAAACTATCCTGGCTGGATCCAATACCAATGTTAGCTCTTATGAGTGCTCAATGCCATTTGGACATCTTAGTCTTCTCTAATCAATCTTCTCTTACAGTACCTACAGCTCTTATTTTTAGATCTTTTCTCTACACTCAAAAATCCCCAATGCCTCCCCAGTCTCCTCACTCTCAGCAGATAACTTCTACACCTTCATCACATGTATCATGCATGACTTCTCTCAAGCTTACCTCCAAATAGTTTAACTTCCACTTTCCCTCTCTTCTGCTCTTGACTGAGAGAAGTTTCTCCTTTCTAAAACTTCTATCATTATTCCATCTTCCTTCCTGCCTCTTTTGGAACATCTGCTCTCCAATCTTTTATGTCAGTCTTTTCCACCAACAACATAGACAAGCTAATCTCTCTTTTTTTCTTTTTACCACCATATGACTTGTTGCCTACACTTTTTCACTAACTTCCCCACTCTTTAGCCATTGGTAAGTCTTCCATCTGGACTACTTTTCTATTATCACTCCCATCTAGCAGCCATTCCAGATGGTCTTCAAGCAACTATTACTCTATAAAGAATCTGATACTATGTTCTCATTTTTAAATTTCTTTCCTCCCTTGACCTTTATTATCTACCCCTCCACTGGTTTTTCTTTTACTCTCCTATCTTTATTTGTGATTCATCTTATTCAGCTTGACCTTAAATGGAAGTATTCCTATAGATCTTACAGAAGTTCTTTTTTTCCTAAACTCTCTTCCACAACAATCAATCCACAACTGACTTAATGTAATGAGAGGTATAATATTAGTAAAAATATTTATATCTAATCCCAACCACTCTTTTTGTTATTTTTGAAATAATATTTTTTCCTACATGGCTTTTCAATACACAAAACACTACCCTCAACTCCTTCAACCTTCATTTAAGTTTATACTACCTCTTTTACAAGAAAAGATTCCTTTGAAGTCATTAGAAACTATCAGTGTTAAATCAGAGGGGGAGACGAACCATGAGAGACTATGGACTCTGAAAAACAAACTGAGGGTTCTAGAAGGGAGGGAGGTGGGAGGATGGGTTAGCCTGGTGATGGGTATTAAAGAGGGCACGTACTGCATGGAGCACTGGGTGTTATACACAAACAATGAATCATGGAACACTACATCAAAAACTAATGATGTAATGTATGGTGATTAACATAACAATAAAAAATTAAAAAAAAACTATCAGTGTTAAACTGCTCACACAATAGGCTAGGAAGTTCCACAAGTCAAAGCTCTTGAAGGACTTACAGAATGCTACTGAATACAATCTTCAGAAAGGGTAAAAAGTGGACTTTCCTGAAGTCTGCCCCTCAGAATACAGTGGGTACACATCATGATTATAGTCTAAACAAAAGTGGCCCATTTTTTTTTAAAGGGAGAAAACAAGTATTTACATTTGGTTTGTTTTTGAAATAATACCAAACTTGAGGGATAGAACTTCAAACAGAGACATTCACTATTGTTTTCCAACCACCATCCTATACTTGGGACATTTAAAACCTTATAATCTTCCTCCATCCCCTATTACTTCAGAACTTATTTTTTAACCCACTGTTATATTTCTCATTGGGGTAGATATTCCTAGGTAACTAAAATTTCCTTTTATTCAATAATACATCTTTCACTTTTCTTCC